CTTCTTATTTCTTATCGCTAGATAATTTTTTAAAGGGCTCACCTGATTAGGTCAGGCCCACCCAGGGTAATCTTCCTTTTGACTAACTCTAAGTCAACTGATAAGAGACCTTAATTACATCTGCAAAACATCTTCATTTTTGCCATATAGAACAATCTAATCATGTGAGTGATACCCCATCATATTCACAAGTCATAAAGTCAAAAAAATCCCCTCAAAGCAAGGAGATTGTACAGGGCATACACACCAGGGGGCAGGAATCTTAGAGCTCTCTTTGCCACACTTCCTCTGTGACTCATTCCTTTTACCTCCAACTGGCACTTCAGCTGGTTGACACTCTATACCTGCTAAGGGACCTAAACCTTCACACCAAGGAATACCAGCCCCTGGCGGTCCTGCCTGATTAAGGTTACAGGAGTCTTCCATTAACTCTGACCACTGGGGATGGCATGACCAAGAAGTGCCCCAACTACCCCAGGGATTACCCCCATACACGCAGCCTCTTTCACCACTTATCCTTCGCCTGCCTCACCCCCAATGGGATTAATCACAAACTCTTGTCCCTCTTCTGAACCTTTGCTTGCTGTTCATTCTACCTGGAATGTCCCCTCCCCTGCTTCAACCATCTTTAAGGCTCTGCAGACCTTCCTCCTCCATGTTGCCTACACTGCCTTCCCTCTGAGCCTTCCCATGTAGCTAGCATTCCTTCCTCCTCAGGGCTCATCTCCAGCCACATAGATCACCTTCTGTTTTGGGTTCAGGGGCCCTTGTCTCCTGCACTTCTCCCAAGCAAGTTCATCCCAGGCCCAGGAACCCTGAGACACAGAGTGGCCCAAATTGCAGGAAGTAAAGGAAGGGGTGTTCGGGAAACCCTGGTAGTGGCTTTATTTCAAGCTCCAGGGGGCAGGAGGCAGGGAAGCGGGGTGTACTATTGCTCAAGACTTCCCCCATTGTGATGTCTCGTCACTTCTGGAAGTCCTGTGCAATGTTCTACCCACACGCTGGGACAAAGGGCCAAGTTCTGCCCCTCTGACTGAGCCAGGACCCTCTGGATATGGACAGAGGGTTTGGAGGATAGGGTGTGAAGCAGACCCCTTCCCAGGATCAGGGACTTTCAGGAGCTGAGTCATCTGGTTTCTTGTTCATTTCGAGCCCAGACTCAAGCCAGAGCACCCCTTCTACAGGCCAGAAGCCACACATCCCGTTTTCTCAATACACTAGATGCCCTCTGCAGGCCCCATAAGGTTGAGAGCCACAAAGGGATAAACTGAACAAGCAGCTAGAATAAACATGATTTCTGAGCTTGGGATGAACTTGCTTGGGAGAGATGCAGAAAACAAGAAGCTAGACTTCTGAACTCAGCAAGCCAGACTGAACTGTTCTCACTGCATCCCAGTATATCGTAAAAAGAGAGAGGCCTCCTAATACTGGTAATATATGCTAGGTGACGAATGAGAAATGGGAATGGACCTAACCTTCACTGAGTGCCCATTTGTGAGTCAGGCACACGTACTATCTCAAGATATATATTATTCCCATTTTACAGACAAGAAATCTGTCACCTGTCCAAGGTTATAAAGCCGGATTCAAACACAAGTGTTTGAGTATAAAAATTCTGTTGTTTCCACTACGTTAGTAATAACGAATGCAAGGCATACATGTTCTCACTTCCTACTCGTGTTCCCAACAATATCGATCCAGTCCAGGGATTGGCATACTTTGGCCCTTGGGCCAAATCCAGCCCGTCACCTGTTTTGTAAATAGTTTTACTGAAATACAGCCATGCCTGTTCATTTACAAATTGTCTCTTGCTGCTTTGGGGCTGAGTAGTTGCTACAGAGACCGGACAACAAAACCTTAAATATTTACTATCTGGACCTTTACAGAAAATGTCTCCCAACTCATGATCCAAACCCAGCCCCAGAATTAGAGTTGTCAAGCGAGACAAGGCTTATTGCCATTGGTGTCTTAGCATTGAAGAATGGTTAGATAAATAAATGAATGGGATGGATGGATGGATGGATGGATGGACGGACGAACAGGCAGATGGACAGACATATAGTATTCCCCCTTTATCTGCCGGGGACACATTCCAAGACCCCCAGTGGATGCCTGAAACCACAGATAGTACTAAACCCTATATATACTATGTTTTTCCTATGAAAACATACCTTAAAAATTAGGCATAGTAAGAGATTAACAATAACTGATAATAAAATAGAGCAATTATAACAACATATTCCGTTGAAAGTTATGTAAATGTAGTGTTTTTTTTTCCTTCTTCACAATTCCACAATAGATTTGTTTTTACCATAGATAGGAGCAACCTCAGCATATGATTTTTTCTCTTTCCTTCTTGAGAACTTTTCACTAAAAGAAAGCACTTTATGATTTCTCTTTGCCATATCCAAATTGCTAGTATCATTACTCTTATGTTTTGAGACCATTATTAAGTAAAATAAGGGTTACTTGAATACAAGCACTGTGATACTGTGAGTCAATCTGATAACCAAAATGGCTACTAAGCAACTAATGAGTGGGGGTAGCATATACAGCATGGACAAAGTTTTGATTCACATCCCAGGTGGGATGGAGCAGGACAGATTTCATCACACTACTCAGAAGAGCATGCAATTTAATACTTATGAACTGTTTCTGAAACTGTCCATTTCATATTTTTGGACCATGGAAAGTGAAACCTCAGATAAGTGGGGACTACTGTATAGGTAGTATAAGAGTTTTGCTCCAAATTCCAATGTTATGCCATTTATAAACTGGGAAACCTTCAGAAAATTAACCTTTCTGGGTTTTAGATTCCTCATCTGTAAAATGGGGATAATAATACAGTAATTATTATTCAGGGCTCATTCCACTGCAAATTACAAAAACCCAACTTAAATTAGCTTAAGCAAAAAGTTAAATTTCTCATATCACATAAGTAGATTCATTAAGATTTAGTCTACTTCAGCCCTTGTTGGTTCTAGGGGTTCAAATGATGTTATCTCCATGTCTTAAGTCGACTTCTAATTCTTTTTCTGTAGGGATCTCATTCTGATTATAGTTGCTCTTCTAGCAGCAGAAAATATGGCCACTGGAAGCCTCAATTCTAAATTTTCATAATGAATGATCTAAAACTGAGGTCCTCTTTCTCCAAACGTCGACTCTCATGAAAAGCTGTGATTAACTGTGCTTGTAACACATACTCAGTTCTTCAATACATTACAGTGGCCAGTGAATGGGGTACTGTGATATGTCAACAACACTGTGGTTGAGAGACCCACCAAAACCACATACAGTGGGAGAGGAGTTCCTTAAAGGAACCATTAATAGGAGCATAGAAAAGTGCATGAACAAAAACATAGCTCACAGCACTCTACTTCATAGGTTTGTTATGAGACAATGAATTTAAAGCCTTTAGAATGGTGTCTGACACTTAAGTATCAACAAACATTAATTATTACCATAACTGATAGTTGAATGGATGCATTCATAGATAGGTAATAATTGGATATATGGATGAATAAATGGAGATGAAGATATAAATAGATGAAAGGAAAGATGGAAGAATGGATTGATGAAGAGACAAAGATGGGTGAACATATGGACACATGGATGGATGGATAGATGGATGGATGGATGAATGCATAGACAGACGAGGCCGAAAAATTGGGCCCATAGTTGTTTGTCACATTATATGCTCTAGGGCTGACAGTGAGAAACAGAATAGCACTCAAAAATTAGTCTTTCAGGAGAGATCTGCTCCTCTGGCCTCTGTCTCGAGTCTCTCTCATCGGGTGGGGAAAGCACTTGCTCCCTTTCCCCACCTCTAGTTTCTTTGTATTGCTGTGAGCTGACCAGCCCTCTCCTCAGAAATCCCCTCTCAATTCCCAGAACAGGGAAAGAATGGTAGAAGGGGGTGCCCTAGGCCAGGTGCCCCTCAAGCTATTCCTCTGACCCAGCATTGGGCATAGGAAAATGGGTCAACAGGAAAGAGGGTTGGCCAGGCCAAAACAGAGAAGCCTTAGAGTCTTGAGATGTGAGATGGGGTTGCTGGACTTGCTTCCAAAGAACTTTCTCTTTAGTTCTGCTTGTCCAAGGGAGGAGCAGGTCTCAGATGATGGATACATAGGCATTGTGATGGGCCTAGGGAGACAGAGGGAACCTGGGAGGGGACCTTCTCCAGCCTTACTCTGCTTCTTGTGATTGTCCTCAGGGAATCTGGGGGGGGGGGCGCAGCTGGGTCCCATTTTCCCCACTCTTCCCACTGCCAGGTATCTTAGGACCACAGAGAAGAGCTGGAGGTGAGGAGAAATCTGGGAAAGAGGAAGGCACTCCTTACCCTGACCTCTAATCCCGAACCAAGCCCTGACTCCTAGCCTTGATACTGATGTTTCACATGCCCCCAAGGAGACAACACTTTAAAACTACCTCCACCCTTCCTTTGTCCAAACTGCTGATTGCCAAATTCTTAGAGCTAAAGACAAAGGATGGAAAATGGGAGTGGAGAGGCTACTGAGGAGAGTTACAAAAGGGAAAAAAAAGGTTTTTCCAGATAGAGGGAAACTGTAGGGGAAATATCCAGCAGAAAGGTATTCTACCATCTCATGTACTACAATTCAATTCAGACAATAACCACCCAGTTAGTGTCAGACTTCCTTAAGTCTGCAACACACCTGCCTCCCTTGAGATGCCAGACATAAGTGGGGTCCCCAGGCCACCTGTATTTCTGACCAACTGGCTACAAATCCAGGAGGTTCCCACAACCCCCTCAGATGCAATAATTCACTAGAATGACTCACAAGACTCAGGAGTGCTATACTTACAATTTTTTTTTTTATAAAGGATAAAATCAGGAACAGCCAAATGAAGAGACACACGGGGAAAGATATCTGGGAAGGTCTCAAATGCAGAGCTTCCATGCTCTCTCCCCATGGAGACACACAGGACACATCACCCTCCCAGCACGTCAATGTGTTCACCAACCAGGAAGTTCCATGAGCTTTGGTGTCCAGAATTTTTATTGAGATTTCATTACATAGGCATTATTGAATTGTTGGCCACATGACTGAACTCAACCCCCAGCCCCCTCTCTCCCCGGAGGTTAGGCCAACTCTCCAATGAGATGGTTGGTCTTTCTGGTGACCACTCCCATCCTTGGTCATCTCATTTCTTAGCATAAACTCAGGTGTGATTCAAGGGATTCAGAAATAACAAAGACATTCCTCTTTGGAAATTCCAAAGATTTAGAGTCTCCTTCTCAGGAACCAGGGACAAAGGCCAAATTCTTTATTATAAAACAGAAGGAAAGAAATTACTGCACACATAAAGTGAAAGCTTCAGGGGGCCATGAAATAGGAGACAGCTACACACCCTCATACAGGTTCACTCACAGGACCATCATGGACTTCCTCATGCTCATCATCACTCTTCTACTCACTCTCTCCCCTATCCAGACTCACAGTCTCACATAGGCTCCACAAAAGCAGGACTCCTGCAACCCATACACTTGCTGCTTCCAAAGATTCTAATCATTTGTCCATTTCCATCCATCTTCCATGGCCTCCTGCACAGCACCACTCCTCTCATTTCTTCGTCTCCTGATTTTTTGGTCTCCCCTGGAAAGGAGAGGGGATAAAATGGTAAGGTGTGGGGTAGAATAGGGATCTGGGAGTCTGTAAAGGAGACTCTGAGTTCAGGTCAACATCCAGGTATGAGTGTGTCTGTGAACCTTACAGTGTATATTTACCAAATGAGTGTGCCCCTGTGATTGTGTTTCCCTGTGTACTGTAGGATTGTTTACTGTGCATATTCCTATACAATCTGCACATGGGCTTGTGTGGTGTGGGTGTGCGTGTGTCCTGTGTGTGCTCCTATGTGATGTAGATGTGCCTGTGCCTCAGGTGTTCCTATATGTGTCTGTGCCTGGATAGGTGCTGGGCCTTCAGAGGCTCTGTCTCTTCTAGCCTGGGTTTCCAGAGGAAGAGGACAGTACACATGGGTGGAGAAGAGGGGAACACTAAAGTTATGGCACTGGACACAGGTATCCTGAATTCAGTCAGGGCTGTGGGCTTCCCAACTTACAGTCCCTCAAGCCAGCTCTGAGTGATGCCAACAACTCTGAGAACTCTGTCTCTCACCCAGTTCCTGGGAACATTTGTGGTACCTTTTTGTTCCTATCTCCTCCTCAAGGATGGCTGCATGGTACTGTTGTCCTGTGAGTGGGGGTGGAGAGTAACTGGTCTCCTCCTCTCCCAATCACCTACCCTGGGGCCTATGCTCACCATGTTACTTCCCTTCTCTTTGCCGAACCCCTTTCCACAAGGAAGCCCCTGAAACAGGCTCTTGGATGTGGTCCTTAGTTTCTGCCCCATACACCAGGGCCTTCCAAGAAGCTAAGTTCCAGGGCTGCTCTATTCCCTCTGACCTCTGACTCTAGGTTCACCACACTGAATGGTCACCAGCTCTGCATATCCCCAGACCACTCCTAGGTGGGCTGCATCATCCGGAGATTGCAGAAGAACTCTGACAAGGCAAGCCTGCCACCTCCTCAGCCCTGCTTCCTCCCTCTGAGCCTCTGCCCAAGACCCGAGCCCATGACCTTGCCTCTCTTTCCTCCTCCAGAACAGGCGCCACAGCAGTTAGCCCATGACAGCCTCAGAGGGAACCTTGTATCTGACTGAAGGGATGTAAATGACTATGGCTCTAGGGAACTAAGGACCGAAGAGAAAACCAGGCCTCCAGCACCTCTGCACCAGACCTGACCCAGTCCGGGCAGGACCTGGAGTGCCGACATGAGTGTGAATGAGTGTGAGTGTGAGCGAGAGGGTGAGTCTGGAGGGAGCACAGATTCTCCTCCACAGCCAGACTGCAATGCTTCCAGTAAAGCCCAACTGGTACCCATGGATCTGTCGGTCACCTGTCTGTTTGTGGCCTAGGCAGGGGAAGACAGGTATGAGAGGGAGAAAAAGGATGGGATGGGGAGGACAGGGTAGGTGTATTCATTCTCCACACTTCAGTCTGAGGGAACTTTCACTTCACTCATTTCTGATCACTCTCTCTCCTATAGTCCAGCCACAAGGCTCCCTTCCTCCCTCCAAAGAACAACTGGGGCAGTTATTTCCAACCTCCCAGTCTGGGCTAATTCTCCTAGGCTCTACCACAGTACCCTCTACTGTCCCTATCCAGTCTGCTAGGTAATGCTCTGATGATCTCTTTCAATACTCCCATCTCTAACCCAGATGATAAGCCCTCTGAGGGAAAAGACTATGCCTGTCTTCTTTACTGCTGTATCCCCATGCCCAGCACATTGCCTGCATGTAGCAGACACTCAATAAATATTGAATGGATGACTGTAGGAACAAAAATCACAGGAAGGTCAGTCTCAGCTCAGAGAGGAAGGGCTGTGACCCTCTGGCTATTAAGCAACTTGGCCGAGGCCACTCAGCCAAAAACTATTTCCATATACTGGCCTGTCTAGACCGGGCCCTCCCTTGTGGCCTGTTCCTCCTCAGCCCAGGGTCATTCAAGTGAAATGAGGCAGGCAAGAAAGGCAATCATCAGAGCAGAAGCCAAGAAGATTGAGAGTAGGAGAGGGAAACGGGAAAGCACTACTGAACAGCATCCCAAAGATCTTTTCTTGCTGTTACTGATGTCTCCGTCATTGATGGTAGAGCTCCAAAATCTGACTCCATCCCTACAAAAGAGGAGCTAGTGCCCTTAATCTTAGAAATAAACCCCAACTTCACCCCATTAGTGATAGGCCTTAGCTCCCCCTTAAGAGTGAATCCGCCTCCGTTAAAGAAATGCTCTAACTCCGCCCCTTCCGGGTAATAGGCAAGCCCCACCCCTGGTGCGTGACGGAGTCCCCGTGGCGTAACGGTAACGGTCTGTTTCCGGGGTGGAGCCAGGGAGGGCGGGAGTTTAGGCTGCGCCAACCCCTCAGCCCCCCTCCAGGTGACCCCAGTCCCCGAAAATCCTAAGCCGGGCCCCAAATATCCCAGCCTCATGGCCGCAATGCCTTTCGCCCTGACCCCCTAAAAGCCCCAGGCTCCCGAGGTGACCAACCTCCTAATTCCTTAACGTTTAGTACCTCCAAAATCTTTGATCCCACCCTTCCCCTGTATGGCAATTGAGGCTTCCCGGGGGCATCTGCCTCTGATTACCTGATAACAAATCAGACTGGTCCTGAGAATGACAGAGGAGGGGTCTGGGGTTGGGGAACCCTTGATCTGATTGTGCCGCTTCCCAGGAGACGTTCGGAGCCCGGGACATGTCGGGATTGAGGAGATACGAGGTGGCGCTGGAGGCGGAGGAGGAGTGAGTGGAGGCGGGATTCCGCGTAGGAGGAACCTAGCGGGTCCAGGGTTGGGGGAGGGCTCAAGTAGTCCAGGGGCAGGAGGAGCAGGAGGGGTGGGGCCCCTAAGGGGGCGTGGGCTGTGGAGGGAACCGCCTCTAAGGAGTGGGTTGGGCTTTGGAAAGACATCCGAGGAGTCTGCGGGGTCAGCCCGGCCCCGTCGCCCGGCTTTGCCTTCTCTCTGCAGGATCTACTGGGGCTGCTTCTACTTTTTCCCGTGGCTGCGCATGTGGCGGAGGGAGCGGAGGTGAGGGGACTGCGATATCGCGGACCCTCCCGGGGCATGAACAAGGCTCAGTCTCGGAAGATGGACCGGGGGGAATAGGGGAGTCCCTGCCCCGCCTCACGCCAGTGTCGGGTTGCCCTACAGCTCGGCGCACCCCCGGGAGCAGAAGCTGGAGCCTCTGCGGGGCCTGATGAGTTGTCTGTCAAGCGGCCTGGCCCCTGTTCCCCAGCGCTGGGGTCGCGGCCTCCCCCGCCGCACCCCCGCCGCCACTGCCCAGCCAGCCAGTGCATTAAAGATTTAAACCGAAGCCACCGTGCTTCCCTCCTGACTCTGCCGCCGCTGCTGCTGTTCGGGCTGGGTGCCCCTCTCCATGCTGGCTGTGACCTTAACTGGCAGGGCCACCCTCCCAAATAGGGTGCCTTCCATGTCCAGGTCCCTGTTATACCTAAGGGCCCCTCATCAGTATCAGGCCTCCTGTTTACTATCTGTGACTGCTCTTCACTCCGTGCCCCTCCCTTACACACACACACACCCATCACTGTGATAGCCTATATGGAGGAAATAAATAGTCCTGCTTTTGTCTTCCTCCCAACCGTATTCCCATATTGATGTGTTTTCACTCCAGCTCTCTGCTACCACGTTCCTCCTAAACAGGGCTCTGCCAAGTGTCCTAAGAATCTTCTTTTCCTGGGAGTGGATCTAAAATATTCTAAGCCCAGAGTTGTGGAAGTAGGCTGTGCGAGGAGGGCAAGATTCCTAGAAGCTTCCACTCTCAACCTGCCACAGGGGATTGACTTGGGACTGTGGGAGATCTTTCCTATGGTTAATACCTCAACCTCCAGTCTGATCCCAAGTTTAAAGATACTTGACTTAAAGCCTACCTAGCAGATGTTGCTACCTCCCTAGGAGAACCCGAGGGTCACATTGTTCCCTGCCACCCCTTCCTGTCTTGTCACCCAGTAAGCCTGAGACCCACTGACTCCTAAAGTGCTGAGAGTCAGGGACTCCAGTGGGCCTGCTTTCAGTTAGGGATTGGCCCCAATACCAGAAAGGGCACCAGGGGATTAAGTTAAAGAGACGGCCAGTTTGTGAGTGGAGGACAAAACTAACTTTCGGCCTGGGGTTACCCCTGCTACAGCAGGTTGTGGCTGGGGAGAAGGCTTAGCCCTATCTGTGGAGATGGCATAGGGGAGAAATGAATGCATACCCGGAAGAATTTGTTTCTTGCCTTCTCAGGTCTCTGGACTGACTGGTCCAGGAGAGGCCACAATGTGTGTGGCAGACAGCTAGTTGATGGATATCTGTAACAAGACGATGGCACCTCAATCATTGCATCCAAGCTCTGGGGCACAAATCTAGACTGGAGGGTGGGAGAGAGACCCTAATGCCTCTGGTACTACAAATTCAAAATGTCTCTGGGTCGTGGCCGCCTTCGAAAATGGACCTGGTATCTTGAGCCTTTCATCACAATGTCTAATCAAGAACCCTGTCAAAAGTGGAGTACTCTGTCCAGCCTTGGGCCTATACCTCCCCAGGAAACTATCAGAATTCCTAAACATCTACAAATCAAACTCTAGGAAAGTGCCTTAGAGCCTCGCCCTGGAAAGGAGGGAGAAGCTCCAGTTGTTGAGCCTGGGAAAGGGCCTAGTCCCCACTGTCAGAGCTGATGGTCCCACCTGATTATCAGAGCAGCCTTGCAGCAGAATGAGATACCCAGGGAAGGTCCCTATCCCAAGAGAAGGCCTGCCCCACAGAAGGTAGCTAGCACAGAGCAAAAGGCTTCATAAGGCACCCCTGCAACAACCAGATAAGGGTTATAACTCAGTTTATGTTTCAAATACAGAGCAGGACTTGAGGGTTGAAATCCCCAGACCAGGAGCAGGAAATTCTTCAAGATGTAAGGGGCATTAAACTTAGCAGCTTGCTCCCACCCTAGGCAGTTCCCAGCTTTCAGGAAATGAGAGAAGGAGTTGTTTTGCATTGGGAGATGAGAGGAAGAGGGAATGAAGGCTGAGTATGGGATTAGGAGAGAAGGGACAGGAAGGAGATGGGAGGTTTGGGCTTTAGCAAGAGGATGGGATACAGAGGGTGTAGGGGTTGTTGACGGGTATCACTGGACCTGAGTGGGGAAGGGGTATGTTCCTCCAGACCCACTGTGGAGAGAGGCTGGAATTTGAACAGAACAAAAGAGAGGTAATTGAATTCTTGAGTCTGATGTCTTAATAAGCCAGGGACTGTCTGGAAACCTCAGGCCCCTTTTGGCAACAGGCTAGCATTTCTGGGACAAGATTAGGCAAACGCAGAAAGATAAAATTTCTTGGGGTTTTTTTTTACCTGTTAATAGCAGCAACCTAACACCGAAAAAATTTTATCTTCCCTCATCTACCCTTCTTATCCGCCCCACCCTTCCTCAGTTTCATCTTCCTAGGGAAAGCAGTTCCCACCTTAGCATCTCAAAAGAACTCCCAATACTACCAAAAAAAGGCCTTTTCCAGCTTCTCTGAACTGAACTGGTCCCTGCCACAACACCTCCTCAGCCAGAAAGAAGGGCCTACTTTAGGGACCCATTCCTATCAATTCTTCCCGATAAGAGAAGCAGGCTAGGGCAGGAAGTGGGGAGGGGAAAAATGAAGGCAATTTGGTGCTGGCTTGCCCTCTGCTCCCATCCCACCGACAACTCCCCCATCAGAATGTATGTGTGCTAGTATGATTGTATGACTGGATGATTATAAAAACACAACTGTATGGGAGCAGGACTTTTGAATAAAATTGGGGCTGCATGATTCTGTCTATGGTTGTCTGACCATGTGTGGTTGATTGAGTGATGGAGGTGTGACTGCGAATGTGTAATTATGGGTATGAGTGTGAATGTCCATCATTGGATGCCGCTGAGGATGCTTGTCTACCCTTACTCAGTTATTGTACCATCAGTCCTTGCATCATGCACTAACCCTCTCCCCAGCTTCTCTTCCCCGGGCTTAGGAGCCCATGGGAAATGACAGTCTTAGCAGAGGAAGGGGTCTATGGCACAGGGGTCTGTGGCAACTAGGACCCAGGAGTGTCACAGGATGAGTAACACATCTTTATCTGCCTCTGACTCACTTGGTGCCCCAAGCGAAAGTCACCCAAATAAAAGGTAGGGGAGAAGGAGGAGAGAGAAAGAAGTATCCAGGCTGATCAGCATGAAGGGGCCCTCACCCACCATTAGCCTCCTGCTGCTACTGTTGCTTCTGAGCCTAGACCCTGGAGCAGGTGAGTACTTGGGGTCTAGAAGGCCGGGAATCTGGATGAATGAGATAGAAGGAAAAGGGGAGCAAGAAGTACAGGAGGAGTTTGGGGTCAGAAGCCCTCTGAACACCTGGACCCATTGTTTCCTAGCGGCGCTACTGCCACCCAGCACCACCTGCTGTACTCAGCTCTACCGAGAGCCACTCTCAAACAAGCTACTAAAGAAAGTCATCCGAGTGGAACTGCAAGAGGCTGATGGGGACTGTCACCTACAGGCTTTTGTGTGAGCTCTGAACCTGCCCCTGAGACTGACCCCTGATTCCAACCTCAGTCCCAACTCCTGATGCTGATCCCAACCCCAGCCCGAATTGCTAATTCTGATGCCAACTCAGGTTGTCATCTGGCCTTTGCCCCTAACCGCTGGACCCTAACCTCATCCCCAAACTATGACTATGGCTTTGGACCTTTCCTTTCCCAGGCTTCACCTGTCTCGACGCAGCGTCTGCATCCACCCCCAGAACCGCAGCCTGGGTCGGTGGTTTCAGCACCAAGGGAGGAAGCATCAGGAGACACTGCCCAACCTGAAGTTTTGGCTGATAGGGAAAATGGGCAGGGACTCCCAATAGCCAAAATAATAAAGCATTATTGAACAACAGTCTCTGATGGTGGTCTCCAATTCTATGCATTCTTTTGAGAGCCCTGAATCTGGAGCTGGGAGACATCAAAAAACAGAAGAACGTCCTCATTCTCTTTATTCACACCTTCATGACCCCGCCAGAGGCAAGAGCCAGGGACCCACACATACTCCCCAGGCACCCACATACATACATGCAGAGAACATATGTTTCTTGCCTCACATACACACAGGCACACATAAACACAGACATACACATCTACATACATTCCACTGGTGGACCTCCAGCTCTAGGATGAAATCAGAGGTCCAGGCACCTTTCATTTGGCAAGTCTGGAACACAGAGTCTCATAGAAAATGGCTCCAAACAAAACTTTCAGAAATCCTACACCTCCTGGGGATCCACTGTCCTGCCTGGGTTCTATATGTCCATCCACACCAGCAAGACAGAATTATAGGTGGAATCAGCTGAAGCCTTTCTGGATCCTCTACAGGTTTGGAGCGCCTAGAAAAATCAAGAGGCAAATCAAGGGAGACAGTAGGACTAGATCTTGGCCCTGACACCCTAAGAATGAGGGAGGAGACCCAGCTCTGAACTTAACACTCTGGGAATGAATAGGGGATCCCAGCTCTGAGTGAGCCCTGACACCCTGGAGATGAGGGAGTGGACCTAACTCTGGGCTCCGGCACATCAAGAATAAGGGAGGGGACCCAACTCTGATCTAAGACATCTCAAGAATAAGGAGAGATAAACAGCTCTGAGCCTAACACACTGCAAATGAGAAGGGAGTCCATCTAGAAGCCCCAATACCCTGCAAGAGAAGGAAGAGACCCAACTCTGAGCCCAGGGACTCAAGAATGACAGGCCCATCCTTGAGCCAAGACATAAGAATGAAGAGACCTAACTCACTTCCAACACCCTCACAAAGACTAGGGGGCATGTGACTCTTAATCCAGACACTCAAAATGAGGGCACACATCTCAAGTCCAAACCTCCTGGAGTTCCTACTCACCTGGAAGCTTGTCCACTGGAATCATCGGGGCCAAGAACCCAGGTTTTTGGGGTCCATCCTTCCCATCCGGTCTCAGCCTCAGCCTGAAGCATAAAAAAGTAGCTATCTCCCTGACAACATAAAGCATCTCAGACCACTCGAAAAGGGCTTATTAGTAGACAGTCAGTAGAGGAGTCAGTGAGAATCACAACGTTAGAGGACAGAGGGAATCAGAATCAGATAGGTTCACTGGAAAGTAATGAGGGTTGGGAAAGGGGTGTGGTCTATGGGTATCAGAGGGTCTGTGTGGGATTAGAAGCTGAGGCACCAATGGCTGTCACTTACCAGAGCCCCAGTGCCAGGGCCCCAGCTGCTAGTCCCAGGAAAGAGAAGATTCCCAAAGATGCCAGCACAGCCACCTGCTCCAGAGGGTCCCTATGGTCTGAGGAGGAGGGTCACATGCCATTGTAAGAGTGAGCTCAACCAAACCCAGCGCCCCCTTGTCTCTGGGGCTTTCCCATCCTCTACTACCTTTGCCCATCTGTCCCAGCTCACCAAGTGGCAGCAGGTCTGGAAGGAGGGAGGGCCTTGGGGGAGCAGGGCTGTCCACCTGAGTGTCCTCCTCTGGCTGTGTGTGTGGCTGACTCCCAGCTGGTATTTCCTTTGGTAGGGGCTCTGAAGAGAAGTAAGATTTGAGGAGAACTGTCCACACAGGGTAGGGGCAGAGGCCAAGGCTGGCCCTGTGGAAGCCAGGGCCTTGCTTGGACACAGGGGCACCTGAAGGCAATGCCTGAAAGGGCAGAGCCACCTTCTTGAGAAGTAGCAGGGGTAGAGGCTGAGGGGCAGAGCTTAAGCTAGAACAGGACTGCAGGCAGTTGGCATGCCTGCGTGGTGGGAGCATGTGCCAAGTGCCCAAGTTCAAGCAAACCAGTCCAGCTGATAGATACTGAGGGGCGGGACCTCTACCCTTTTCTTTGGCTCTCTCACCAGTGCTTGGAGTTCCCCAGGCCTCAGGGCTCCAGGCACTCCAAATGCCAGCATCCAGAAAGTCCCGGGCACTGACCCGCACAGCATGAGGCAGCCCAGCCACCGCGTCTGTGATCACCTCCTCCAGTCCAGTCGGCTCCACCTGGCAGTGAAGATAGTTCATCACTACGTTATCCAGGTTGTAAGCAACCAGCCTAACTGCCCCCAAGCCCCAATCTGCAAAGAACACCCTTCCTCCCCATTCTGTCCTTATTAGCGTGGTGGAGCCAACTGGGCTTCATGTGGGGTGGCTGGTGGTGTCAGGTCTACATCTTGTGTTTAAAAGACAAAAGTGCATAGTGGTTATATAAATAGGTTGTACCATCAGACTGCCTAGGTTCAACTCTTACTGGGTGACCTTGGACTTCTTTGTGCCTCAGTTTCTTCATCCATAAAATAGAAGTGAATACATCTAAGATAGTGCATGTACAATGTGTATCTCAATGCCTGGGTGGCACACAGTGCTTAATAAATATTGGTTATTATCTGAGGCAGCCACTCTCCAGACCTGATGCTAGCCAATCTTTGACATCTCCAGAGGTGAGAATTCACTACTATCCTTACCTGGGTATATGAGTGTTTATATGAGGATATACCTCTGGGTGAAAAGCACTTCTCTTCCTGGAAAAGTTATTTTTAAAAAGCCACTGCTGTCTTCCCATAGATAGGCTTACATTAGAGTAATAGCCCCGCAGGGCAGAGGCTTCGTCTGTCAGTCCCTGCTGCAACCCAGCACCCAACACAAAACCTGACCCTGGGAGAGCATTCTATAGGGGGAGGTGACAGGGCTTCAGCGACCTGCCAGTGCCAGAAATCCATGCAGAACACCCTGGAACATGAAACCAGAGACAGGACCCACAGCCCCAAGTTGGGACACACTCTAGGCCTCACAAGACCCACAGCCCCAAACTGGGACACACTCCAGGCCTCACCGTGGACCAGGCAGGATGCTGCACTGGACGGTACTGCAGCCGGAACTTGAGCAGGAAGTGGGGTTGGCGGGGCCAGGAGGCGGGATATGTCCAGCTGGCACGAAGGCGACGGGGGTAGCCAGGTACTGACTCTACCCGAAGCCCCTGGGGTGGGTCAGGACGCACTGAGGATGGTAGAGACACAAAGTAAGGACAGATGACAGGTACCCATCTCTTCCCCACCACCTCCCAAGGGAGGGTGAGTGTCTGCCTAAAGGTACCTGAGGGAGGCACTTCCAAGGGGGCTGGGGAAGTCTTAAGCATGATCATCCATTAGGCTCAGGACCTGTCTATCATCCCTACTATAAAATGAACTGAGATCTGGAGACAGGTTTTTGAAAGGTCTATGTTGAGTGAATTAAAGAGTGATTCTGTTTCCCACCCAAGGAAGAAGATGAGTTGACCCAAATTCCAGCCAGCGCTTTAGAGCCCCACTCCCACGCACAGATCAAAAGGAAGGAGGGACAAATAAAGGCTTCCATTGGACAGGGAGGACTTGAAATATGGCTGCCTTCAGCACAAGGCCTAGAGGCAGAGAGGCAGCTCTGGTGCTAGGCGGCCAGGAAAGACTTGTGGGGAGGAGGAGGTGGTGGCAGCAGTCTCTAGAGACTGAGATAACTCTGCCTCCTGGGCTTTGATCTCTGTCTTCTTAGTCTCCACAGGAGCCACCTGTGTGCTGAACTGAAGTTTATATTGGGAGGGAACTGTTTGGGAGCTCTGGGGTGGGGGAGTTCTGTGTTGAGATATCTATACCCTAGAGTCTGTTTGGGGTCTCTATGGAGGGGATCTGGAGGAACTCGAAGGATGGTACTCACAGATGCTCTGCAAGCTCACATCCAGCAGGCGTGTGCTGACCCCCAGGGGATTCACCTCAGTCACATTGATCCGGTACTGGCTCCAGAACTCTGCCCCATGGACCACACAGCGGGCAGCCCCTGGGGGATCCTGTGGGCATGGCCAGGGCCCCGTGGATGGACTCATCCTAGGAGGGAGGATGTAGTCTTGGGCTTTGGAAATGTTCATTGTGGGATTCAGCA